GGCAGCATCATGTTTCTTTTGCAGAGGGATGCAGCAGTTGCTATTGCAAACTCGTCCTTTGTAGCATGTGTGGTATTGGTGACACTCAGAAGCGGCAACCGGGCGCCCGCTTGGTAATGAGACACCGCGGGAGCCCGCACTTCAATGAGGGATGAAGATGTCCCTTCCCCCGGCTAGGATTTGTTGGCAGAGGTGGGGGAGAAGCCGCGGATTCGAGCGCCCCCCTCCGCCCATGTGCTTCCAAGGTTTCAGCTGCAGGGGGGCCGGGCCGGGAGCTGCACTCGGCTGCCGCACGCCGGGGAGCAGAGCCTGGTGGCTCCTGAAAATGCCACTGCACTTACTTAGAATCTAGTCACTGCTTGCTAATCACCTGTCACAGGATGCGCCTTGAATGGCAGTGGGAAGCAAACGGCTTCTGAAGAGTCTCACTGTGGACTGCACTGCTGAGATACCAGTCTTTTTTGCTTGGTTGGTTGGGGGGGTTTTTTGTTTTGTTTTTTTGTTTTGGTTTTGGGTTTTTTAAAGCAAAATTTGAGGGTTAAATTCTTTTTTTTTATCTTTAGGCCCAGTAGATGAGTACATGTTGCCATTTGAAGAAGAAATTGGCCAGCATCCCTCCCTCGAAGACATGCAGGAAGTTGTAGTTCATAAAAAGAAGAGACCTGTTTTAAGAGAATGCTGGCAAAAACATGCTGTAAGTCATTACACAACCGCATTCTGCAATGTCTATCAGGATTTGAATTTCAAATTTTGTTAATCTAGTGTTGTGTTCATACTACTGTCTTTTAGGAAGAATGTAAGTTTAGTAATTCCAGTAAGAATTAAATAGACTGTAAATTAGGATGTTCTTAATCTTAAAATATTCTGAGTGATTAGAGTGATTTTTTTAAAAATTTTTTTATTTATTTTTCACTTTTTTGGTGAAAGAGATTTTTGAGGGTTACTTTTGAATGGACAAGTTAGTATACTTAAGAACTAATACTCTTGATTACTACAGGAATGCTATAAACTGAACAGTGTTACACAAGGTAAGCAGTGTTATGTGAGAAATTTCTGGGATTACTTAAGGAGGAATTGCATGCTTCCCAGATCTGCTTCATGGCTAGAGACTTGCAGTAACACCACTGCTGATTCCTAGTACTGTTCAAGGGGGGCGGGAGGAATGTGGACCTGTTGGAGCAAGTCCAGAGAAGGCCACAAAGATGCTCCATGGGCTGGAGCACATCTCCTAAGGTGACAAGCTGAGAGAGATGGGCTTGTTCAGCCTGCAGAAGGGTCCCAGAGACCTTAGAGCAGCTCCCAGTGCCTAAAGGGGCCAACAAGAAATCTGGAGAGGGACTTTTTACAAGGGCCTGTAGGGTGGTTTAGATTCAATATTAGGAACAAATTCTTCCCTGCCGAGGGTGATGAGGCCCTGGCACAGGTTGCCCAGAGAAGCTGTGGCTGCCCCATCCCTGGCAGTGTTCAAGGCCAGGGTTGGACGGGGCTCTTAGCAGCCTGGTCTAGTGGAAGGTGTCCCTGCCTGTGACAGGGGCTTGGAACTGGATGAGGTTTAAGGTCCCTTCCAACACAAACCATTCTGTGATTTTGTGGAAATGCAGTTTTGTATTAGAATTGCTATATCCTGATCACCTTCATAAAACTTGCTGCTAACTCTGTATACCATTCTTTTTTGTACTTTGCTTTGTTTGCTTGCAGGGAATGGCAATGCTTTGTGAAACCATAGAGGAATGCTGGGATCATGATGCGGAAGCCAGGTTGTCAGCGGGCTGTGTAGAAGAACGGATTATTCAGATGCAAAAATTAACTAACATTATAACAACAGAGGATATTGTGACTGTGGTCACGATGGTGACAAACGTTGACTTTCCTCCCAAAGAATCCAGTCTATGATAGATAGTTGCACTGGTCATGGAACTGACCACTGGACTCTTCACTGGAGCTGCTAAAGCTAAGGGGACTGCTCGCATCATTACTGATTGCTGCGTGAGAAGAATGGTAAGTCTCTCTGGAACAGCATTAAGAGGTGTTTTTCCTTTATTTTCTCCTTCCTCCTCCCAAACATGGATCCCTGAGACTTTCTGCATTCCCTGCATACACCTGAAGGACATGTGACTGAGAAATGGTGACGTGCGGTTAAGGAACATGAAGAATACAGACCTGTTCTGGCTAATCAAGCATTTTAAAAACTGACGCCCAATTTCTTAATCCCTGTCAGAAGAGACTAATTCCTTAAATGAACTACTGTTATTTTTTTTAAATCAAACATTTCATTTCAGATTTAAAAAAAAGGGTAACTTGTTTTTATTGCATTTGCCGTTGTTTATAAAAATGACTATTGTAATGCGACTATGACACAGCTTGTGAATGTTTAGTGTGCTGCTGTTCTGTGTACATAAACAAAAGTAATCAAGTGGGTTATAGCAAAGAGGCTTCCAAGTATTACTTAACCTCCCTCAACAAGGTATACCTCAGTTCCACCTCTGCTAAATTATGAGATTGACAACACTAACAAAATTTGAATAAATCGATCCGTGTTTTGTAAATGATGTATTGCAAATTCACTGTGTTATTTAAAAAGGGTAAGCTATGCTTCGTGCCGATAGTAAATGGCCATTCCTAAAGCAGTGTTTTAGCCTTTCCTTGTACTAGCTTGTTGTGTATAAAAAAAAAAAAGTGCTGTTTATTGAAACAAAATTTTCCTTCCTCTTTTAGTTTAAAGCTTTTCTCTTACCTCTGCTTCCCAGAGTATCTCATGCATTTATTTAACTGAATACTATTTAGGTTTGCTGTGTCTGAGGAGTATTTGAAAACTTAAGCATGACTTTTTTAATTTTCTGTGAGCTGTGACACTGGAAAGCTCTGAATTCTTGTTCTTTTTTTAAAAAAGTCTTTTTCCTATTTATGTTTGTGACAAGGTCTGCATAGCGTGTTTTCTGTTTCACTAAACAGTATGCAGTGGGTTCTGTATCGCTGTTTCAGGATCACCTCAGGAAGCTCAGTTACCCCAAATTCCTTACCCTCTGCTTTGAGATCTACTTAACACTTGGTGCCATCTTATCAGAGTGCGACTCGATGTCTGTGAGGTGCAGGTTTGTCCTGGAGTCACGTGAAAAACACTAGCCACAGGTTTCAGATTATGAATGCTTACAAATTTCAGGGATAATTTAGCTACAACTTAAAATATAGTGACTATTTAGAGGTAACAAATACCAGTGTCCATAGCATAGACTCTCAAAAACTGAAGAAAACGCAATGAAATTGCTTTCACAACTCTAACATTCTTTTTGAGTTTAGGAAGTTGGGCCTTACATTGAAATTGCAAAGCAACTGGTAGGTTGGTAGGTGCCAAAGTGCTTCTCGGAAGTTGTTTGACTACACTTGATCCCTCACACAAACTTCCAAGTAAAATAAGCTTTATAAACCTCTAGAGTGCAGAACCAACAAGAGCTGATAATGTGCTGTGTGTTCCCTCAGTGTTTTGTTTTTGCACCGTGTGTTCAGCGTCTTTTGAAAGAAGCTGCTAATGCTGCAGTGAGGAGCTCACTGGGAATGCTGTTGTGAAAACTGATCCATGCAGCCACAGGTACTCTGCTTTACAAATATACAAACTGACCTTCTAGAAACAGTAAGAAACTTTATGGATAAACAGGACCTAGGGCAGTGTTGCTGATGGCAGGGAGGGGAGAAGGGTGCAGCACTGCCACCTGTGTGTGCAGTGCTGTCTGCCTGGCCGGTGCTGTCCTGCAGCAGGGGAACCATGCTCTGAAGGGTCCTTGGCACCACTGCGTGCTACTTGGTGGGGCGCAGCTTGGCTGTAAAAAGAAAGAAACCTAGTTTGTGGCCACTTCTTAGATTGATGCTTTCCTTTAGCTTCCATTTTTAATCCAGGGGTGTTACTTTATGCACACAGTAGGACATGAACATAGCTGCTGAGTTCTGAACAAGAACCCATTCATATGTTGCTGGTGCTCCCAATGAATTGTAACCCCTTCACTAGCAAAACTGGAGTCAATGCAGGTGGTTTAATAATGTGTTATTCAAGCTCCGATGCAAAAATAGGTTGGGTATAAAACATCCATCATCTGTGATGCCACCCCTCAAACTTCAGCAGCTGTGGGTGCTCGCAGCAGACATGGTGGGGTCTGGGCTGTGCTCCCTCATGTGGCAAACAAGGCAGCAGGAGAACCAAGACAACTTGTCTTGTCTTTGCATTTTAAAACTGCTTTTGGTTCTCCCTAGTTAAATGCTGTGCTGCTCCCAGGTTCCTGGGTTTTAACAGTGTAATTCAGTGTCACTGTGAAAAGGGTGTTCACAGTGTAAATGCTTTTATCATGACTGGTAAAAATAATCGATGTCCCCAGAGCTGTTGTGTGCAGCCGCTTGCACAGGAGCCCATGGCACTGTGCAGGTGTAGAGGGCAGGGTTTGGTACGGTTGGTGCTGGTGGACTGTCTAGTGTGACAGGCAGTGGCCATTGTCCCTTGAGCTTCTGAGGGTCACCAGGTCCTGTGGCTGGTGAGGTGCAGCTTGTCTCTTGTGCATAGCATTAAGCCACATCTCCTGAAACCTTGACCCAGACCTGCTGCCATCATGGCCTACCTGGAACCTTCAGCCCTGCACAACTCTTCATGTCACATTACAGGGCAAGATGCTTCTGTACCACTCGGTGCATGAATTTGTACTGTAGCATTTCAGAGCAGAGCTCATGCCCTAGTTGTTGAAGTAGAGTTGTTGCTGGTGGTGGTATTCCAAACCACCCCTTGAGGACTGGAATCCACCACTGTGTTCCTGCCAGCTGAGACTGTAGAAAGTCAGCTTTGGGTGTGCTAACACTAAATTGTGACCAGTCATCAGCCTTCTCCTGGTCCAACTGGCATTTGACAGGACAGCCAGGATTGCTAGTTTGCTCTTTCTCCAGCTTCTCTTTAACCTTTTTTTAACGGATTTCCTTTCATTAGGAACACTTGGTACAAAGTGCAGAAAGCTGCAGTATATGTTCCTGGGCAAAATGATTGACGTAGCATCCTTGATGGAACATCATTTACCTCAGATACTCAACCAGCAGTACTTCTCTTTTTGGGTTTTTTTGTTTTTGTTTTCCTTTTATTTTCTAATGCCGTTTCAGTCCATATACTATTTGTTACCTCTTGAGATTTTGGTAAGCAATTATTTTAACTTTACTCTTTGTATTTGTCAGTGTTTTGGGCACAGGTTGTTGTACTACTGTCAAAGGGTACTTGCTGTTTTTCTGCAAGTACTAAAAACAAACCAACCCCCCCTTGCCCCTCAATAAAGTGATTGTTAAATATTGTACAAATAAAAATGTATACTCTTTCTCCCCCATTCCCTAAAAAAGTTAAAATAAAAAATGTGACTACTCTGACTAGCATATGCCTTTTCTCATATTGTGACAGGGGGAGGGCAGACAGCGCTGCCTAGGCTCTTGGGCACCTTTTGTGGCTAAAAAAACACAGGAAGAGAATGGAAAAACCCTGCAGTTAAAATGTGGCAGAGAAGCAAAGGCCCAGCCTTGCAGATGGAGAGCTTGCCCTCCTCTCAGGTGGGGACACTTTGCAGCTGGAGGGTTTTAACCAGCAGTGCAGTGCACAGTGCAGGACCCAGTCTCTGAGCTGAGCACCAGGGTGGGCTCCCTCCTGTCGGAGGTGGCCACAGGAAGGCTCTGTTGATGGCTTGGTAATTCCACACTCCCTTCTACCCTTCCCGTACCAGGGACCTGCCACAGCTCTTCCTTCTCCCTGGGCAGCAGGGCAGACACCTGCTGCAGAACAGCCCCTGTAGCCTCCTGCCCCACAAAGGGTTAGGCTCCCTCCCAAGCCTTTATCCTGAATGAAAAAAGCCGGTCCCCATTCTCTCTTCTGTAAATGTTAAATTTCACCAACCAGCCCTTTCCAAACCTGTAGGTGCAAGGTACTCACGCTGTTGAGTGGGTTGTTTCCCCTGCCTGCATTGTTGGTCTGCCAGGGCATGTGATGTTCCCTTACCACACCTGCAGGTAAGTAAGTGTCCGTTCAGCAGCACACGGTGGGGAAAACCTCCATCAGCGTCCCACCACCAAACAGAGCAGCAGGACCCTGGCTGTGAGCAGAGGCAGGGGGCCGCCCCAGCCAGTGCCAGCAGCTCTGCCCCCTCCTCAGCTGTACCTGAGCCACTTGTTGGTTTGTCTCCAGCGTCACAGCAAAGAACTTCCATAAAAATAACACTTTTAACACCAGCATCCCCTTTTCCCACCTCAGCTCTCTACTCAGCAAGAGCAGAGTACTCCCTCCCTTCCCATTTCAGAGGCCCACTTTGAATTACGTGAGCCACGCCGCAGCTGCGTGGAGGTGTGTGTTGGCTGAACACCCACTTTTGTGTCTGGATAAGTACTTCTGCACAACCTATTGTGACAACGTTTTTATTTACAGTTTGTGCTATCCTTGCAGCAATGCTTTACATGACACATTGTGGTACCGAACCAGTGGTAATTCTTAATTGGGAGTGTCCTCCTGACACGTATCACGGAAGTACATATGCAGTAGCACGTACTTTCCAGACCGAGCCTTCCCTGCCCCTCGTTGTCAGACCAATTTCTCTCCGCAGTGATGAAGCACGGAGGCCTCAGCAGCAATCCAGGGGACTCCATTGGTGTTTCAGAGCACAGGGGGACACATAGCCTGCAGGCTGTTCCCTGCAAAAACAGCTGAGTAACCTGGACAGAAGGCGGGTTGTACTTCACCCCAACACACTTGTTGTCATTAAAAGTTAATGACTAAGTTTTCTGCATCAAGTCAAATTTGAGAAGATAAAGTACACCAAGCATGAGCTTCAAACAGCACCTGAGAAGTAACTATGCCTCGGAGTTTAAGCCAGACCCACAGGCATCAGGGGCAGTGTGCCCCAAGCCAGCACCTTGACACAGTCCATCCCAGAGCAAGTAATTCAAGATTTATACGAAGTGGAAACTCTGCACCAGAGGAGAAGCTGGCACCGAGCTGAGCTAAACTGCCAGAACGTTCTCCTTCATCATGTTAGGGCCATCGGCACATATATTGGAGCAATTCTCCTTAAAAAACAAAATCCCCCATCAAACAGCAAAGCTTCTTCCAGAAAGTTACCTCCCCTGGGAAAACATGCCCTCCACTGCAGCCCACCCTCAGCTCCAAAAGCTGGGATGCAGAGAGTGATGCTGCAAGTTCCAGGAAGTTTACAGCCAGCTGAGCGATGAGGCTGCCCACTGTTTCACATCCACAGGGCAGTTTGGGTACGCCTGCAAGGCATCCATGATCTGAGTATTGTCCAATAGCAGCTTCATCAGGAGGTACTCGCGCTGAGCACGTATATTTGGTCTTTCTATTGGCCTTACTAATTCCAGCTGTATTAAGTGTTCAAATGCCTAAAAACAAAATAAAAACCAATCAGACAACATCGCTTGTTTTGGATAACCGGAGACACTTCTGACAGAAGCCTGTGATGTGCGAGCCCAACAGAGAGCTGTTTGATGCCAGCTCTGTTCTACCTCATGTCCTTTGCACACATAGCAAAGCACATCGGCTATGCTGGATGATGTAGAATTCACCTTCCTTCTTAAAGAAACCATGTTTGAAATCTGGTGTACAGGTAACTGGGGATGATGTTGTTATTCAGGGAAACCAGTGGGAAGGTCTACTCCAAGCACACAGACAGCATTATGTAATTTCCAGTGGAATGACATTGAGTTGGAAACCAAGTGGGCTCACCTGCAAGAGGGGAAGGCAGCTTTGACCACATAACTGGGTTAAGTTCATCAACAGAAAAGGCAGCACCTAATGGACTGTAACCAAAACACAGTTCCCAACTTGTAGCTCAGACTGTAGCTGGCTAAGCAAGCCAGCCACATCAGACTGCAGACTGATTCCACACACCAGTCAGACCTACTGGATTAAGAAAAGCCGATTTTTAATGGGGTAAAGTTTTGGAGACATCACCTCTGGCGAGCAGAAGTGAACACGCTCACTGAAGACACCTGTGCACATACACAAACCTCTCCTTTGGAAGCCATCTCCTATACAGTCAGTGTCACTGAAGTAAAGTTAAGCTCCCTGGAGAAAGGCTTCACACAGGTACTAAACTCTTCCAAGTGTAACTATTTCCCAGCTGGGCACTGCCTTGAGCTCCCCACCTGAGGCATCCGCTCTAAGTTCTACACCCTGAAAAGCCCTGTCTTGCTTCAAGGGCTGCATTTCACTACTCATATCTGTGCCCTAAGAAAAAAAGAAGACATCTCAATACTTTACAATTTAAAAGATCAATAAAAAAGACATTTCAGGCTTACCTTCATGACAACTGGCTTTTCAAAGTTGTACATGCAGTGTGCCTTCCTTTGTATGAACTTCTGGAATTCTGTAGCAGTAATGGGAAAAAACGGAGTGAGTGAATTAGGGGAAGTAACTGATGTAGGCTTGGTAAGGTTCAGGCATTTCTCTCACCGTTGTAAACCATCTGGAAGTTAAAGGGTTCTCCTTCATAAACATCATTCAAGTGTTTCATAGCTATAATTAGGCAGATTTCCAGGACAGACAAACCTAGAGGGAAAGACAAGAGCTCTAAATACTTCATTTCAGAAATGCAAGTAGCTCACATACTATTTTTATATGCTGTAGGCCTCACTTAATTGTGTTATATATGTTCATAATGTAAAAAAAAAAAAATAAATCCAAAATCAAAGAGGCTAAGTAAAAGAACATTTTTTTCCTCAAGTGTTCAAAGAAATGGGCTGTTTCCATCAAAAAGCAAGAAATACAAGTAAATATAAGTACAAAGAAAAGCCATTATTGCAACTGTACAGTGACACAGATGTTCAGCAGCACCAAGATAATCTCCCTGGTACTGGACAGTATGTCATGAAGTGAGACTCTGAAAAGGTTGCTATTTGAAGCTGAAGAAGCAACACAGCAGATCAGCTCCATGGTCCTGAGGAGACTTTGGGAAGCACTGGACTAAGCCAAATCAAAGCCTGCAAAACCTGGGAAGCCATGAGTAAGCCATGGGCAAGCCATGGGCTGAGTTAACCTTTCCTGGTCAGGGAAGCAGTTCCCCCTCTAACTGTATTTAGGCTTAGTATCATCACCAGGAGACCTGTATTTCTCTCCCTGTTTGTGCAGGTTCCAGAATGCTTATCAGGGAAAACCTAAGCATAGTGCTTGGTACATCCCCTCTGCCGAGGTTTAGAAAGGGAGAACCCCAGGTGGTGCGAAGGTGGCAGCAGCAAACAGAAACATGCCAGAAGGGCCTGTACAGCAGGAAAAACAGCCCAACTAAAGGCAGGTAAGCGCATGCAACTGAGCTCCCAAAGTACAGAATTCAAGTTCACACTTCAATTCTGTAGATATCCAAGCACAGACTGTTGCAAGCTACAGAGGGTTTATCGCAACAGGTAAAGTACCTCCTGTACCCCCAGCTAACCAGCACTACAAGAATCAGACTGGTTCGGGTTGGAAGGGACCTTAAAGATGATGCAGTTCCACCCCCCCTGCCACAGGCAGGGACCCCTTCCACTAGACCAGGTTGCTCAAAGCCCCGTCCAGCCTGGCCTTGAACACTGCCAGGGATGGGGCAGCCACAGCTTCTCTGGGCAACCTGTGCCAGTGCCTCATCACCCTCACGGGGAAGAACTTCTTAACATCTAACCTAAATCTCCTCTCAGTTTAAAGCCATTCCCCCTTGTCCTATACCTACCTGCCATTGTAAAAAGCCCATCTCCAGTTTTCATGTCAACTCCTTTAGGCACTGGAAGCTGCTATAAGGTCTCCCCAGAGCCTTCTTTTCCCCAGGCTGAATAAGCCCAGCTTTCAGAGGGCCCCAGAGCTGGATAAAGTACTCCAGGTAGAGCCTCATGAGAGCAGAGTAGAGCTGCAGAATCCCCTCCATGGACCTGCAGGTGATGCAGGAAGGAGTCAGGATCTTCCCTTCCTCCACCACTTCGGCAGGACAGATGCACTGCCTAGGCCGGTTCCTCTGCCCAGGCTACCGGTGCTTTCCCTGGCTAGCACTGAAGCTCCGAACCAGCTATGTGGCACTGCCAGCCCTAAACCCGCATCACAGTGGCGCGCTGGCCAAGCTCTTTACATCAACTAGTCTGTAACTCCATCTCTGGTTATTCACCCCCACACACATGCATGAATGCCCAGAAGCATTCTGTGGGAGCGGTATTCCCTGTGCAGCTCATACCGACTGGGACACTGCCCTAGACAGTCTCTCTCACATCAGGAGAAGTTCAGGGAGGGACTTGACACATTCCATACTCCTAAGAAACATTCTGGAAGGGAGGTGAGGGTAGAGGGGAAGCTGAGCTTTACCATGTACAATATTTGCTCTCGAGTCCACTCGATACTGCTTGCTTGCTTCATGGAGATCTGACGCAGTGATAAGTGGGTGATGCACAGTAACGTTACTTACAGCGAGCATCTAAAAATAAAGCAGCAGACATTTTCCACTTAATTACTAATTACCAGACGTACTTTCTGCTCAGGGATGAAATGCAGAAGAACACACTTCCCCTGGAGTCACCTACTGGAAACGTTAATGAATAAACCCCCCCACACAGTAGGCTCATACTGAAAACCTTGTAAATAGCTGGTAGCTACAACTACACTTCGCCAGGAAGGTTTTCCAGGCTTATAACTTTAAAGCCTTCTCACTGGAGGACATAAACACTCATTACCTTGTTTATATTCATTTCAGTGCATTAACATACTTCAGTGATTGCTGTAAGAATGACTTACAACTAGTTTAAACACACCTTTGTGACAGCTGAAAGTGCCAAGAAAGCGCCTGAAGGCACCGCTCAGGTTGCAGAACAGGAGCGACCCCTTCAGAACATTTGCTGAAGTCTCACCTTCTTACAGTATGAATCCTTAACAACATTCAACTGCCTGTCACAGGAAGTGTTTTTGAACAACTGTGAGTTAATAGATAGTTAACTGACCTCTTCCATCACCACCCTTGCAAAGCTCTGGATTAGCCCCAAGCCCTTCTGCAGCAGCAGGCACACTGCAGTGACCTTCACTTCCTCCTCAGGGCTTTAACTATCTATCTGCCTTGTAAGTATTTTGTGGACAGAAAAAAACCAAGTATTTTTAGTGACTACTTCCTACTTTTGCAGGTCTGCGTATGAAAAACTTAATTTTACAGAGGTCTTTCACCACGAACGACAATGCTATCTACCGCCAGTCCTTCCTCATCCTCTTTCCTTACACATGGGGCTCAAGGAAGGCTATTCAGACAGCCATTGGCTTTTTTCTGGCATTCACTCAAGCCACAGGGACAGCACTGGGTGCCCTTAACCTCAAAATAATCTGCAATCTTGTAACAAATTCCAGTAAAGAGAGGACTACCAAAAAGAGGGCTCGGATCATGCTCTCTGCTTCGAAACTAGAGCAGAAAGTCTATGATGTAGCTTTTGGAGTGACTGTAAGCCCAGCACTGGGAAAAGCTTTCAGCATTGAAGACTCCAAGAAGAGCCCACCAGTGAGCAGAAGGTTCAAATCTGAATCCTTGCACCACATAGGATACGCAGGCATGTTCAGTGGGGTTTTCACACCTGACAGAAACACACAGATTGTAAGAAAGACGGTTAAAAACAAATCTCTTTTTGGTAATCAATGTTACTGCATTCATATTAACTGTGCTAAAAAACAGAAGTGAGGGAAGGCAAGTTTTGAGAGAGAGAACCTTCAAGAGAGCTTGACCATGTGTTGAGCTTCAGCTCATTTGTCATGACAGAAGGAAGCTGACCATCAGCATTACCTCCTACTTACTGAACACAGAATTATTCTCTCTAACAGGGAAGCAGCAGTCTAATTTTTCCCCACACAGTGAGGCAGCCTTTCTTCTCCCACTAAGGTAACTGGGAAAGGTTGAAGCTACCAAGTGCAGTTCTGAAAGCTTGCTCAGGCCCTTGGTGCCAGATAATGTGGTCATTTGGAAGATAAGCATTAACTTCCATCTCAGTATTGCTAAGGATTAGGAGCCTCAAACTTCCAGCACCTCAAGTTTTAAAAGACCGAGATCACATTTCCTGGACTAGGGTCATGGTAATGGACAAATTCAGGACAGCATCTGGGCTACCTGAATTGCTCCACGTATCAAACCAGCCCTGGAAAACAAAGCAGTGCCTAATCAAACAGTTCATAAAGTGATTTTATCAGATTCTCTGCAGAAGAAGAAACTGGAAGTGATAAAAGAAAACAAAAGCATTTCCTCTACGTGAATAACAAGACTGTAGGTACATGGGAACACTCTTATTGAAAGAGGTACCCAGCAGCAACCAGTCCATAAAGGCAAGTAACCTTGGATCACAGCAAGGGCGATGGCTTCGGAAGAAGGAGTAGTGAAAAAAGGGATGACAACAAATATTTTGGCTCTAAGTGACAGTTATTTCACTAAAAGCAGTTCCATAGAAGCACCGTGTGCTTTTATGTTGAAAGTGCAGAACAGCAATGGGGGACATTACTGTGGGGATCTGTCACAGGCCACCTGACCAGGAGGAATCTGTGGATGAAGTGGTCTACAGACAGATAGGAGCAACCACACGTTCACATGCCCTTGTCCTCATGGGGGA